CAACTGAGCCACCCAGGCGCCCCTGTTTTTTTTCTTAAGATTTTATTTTAAGTAATCTCTACACCCAACATGGGGCTTAAACCCACAACCCCAAGATTAAGAGTCACACACACTACTGCCTGAGGCAGCCAGGCGCCCGATAAAGAAATGTTGAAGTCACTAAAAGGGAGACTTGATAGGCAGTGATGAACAGAACACAGAGTTATATTGTCCTGTAGGCTCAGTCGTGTCACTGCTGTCTGCCTTTCAGCTTTGGAAGAGGAGTGGCCCCAGCTCGTCACCGTTCTCCAGCCCCGCCTCATCCCGTTCCCAGACCCCCGAGAGGCCAGCAAAGAAAATAAGGTAATGAGTCCTGACTCGCCTGCGGATTCACAAAAGGGCAGGAAAGGAAGGACACGTGCTTGGCTCTTAGGCTTCCTGCAGCTGTGATTCGGAGAGTCAAAGAAACTGCCATCTAGAAGGACAGAGAAAGTACCTGCCTGAACTACTCTCCTCTCTTACAGTCTTCATGCTGACCCTAGAGGCTCTGGCTCTCTCCCTCATCCTGCAGCTCAAGCAGCCGGGGTGTGCAGGGAGGCCACGGGAAGTGCAGCGAGTAGAGTGAGTTACGTCAGGGGCAGGAGAGTTCACAGTTTAGACTCCGGCTGACCCTCCAGGCACCAAAAGTCAACTAGAATGCTGCTCTTAGGGTCAGATGTGTGACAGCTCACAGGGATTGGCAGGTTGAAAGTAAGGTTTATTGTGTTGTGCTTGCCATAAGACAAAGGTTTCTCCATGGCGTCTGTGAACTGCCTTTGTTTTGTAGGAATTTTTTTTTTTTTTTTTTTTAAGATTTTATTTATTTATTTGAGAGAGAGAGCACATGAGAGGGGGGAGGGTCAGAGGGAGAAGCAGACTCCCCGCCGAGCAGGGAGCCCGATGCGGGACTCGATCCCGGGACTCCAGGATCATGACCTGAGCTGAAGGCAGTCGCTTAACCGACTGAGCCACCCAGGCGCCCTGTTTTGTAGGAATTTTCTTTTGATTTCTTAAATTTTTTGTCTTGGCATACTTCGATCTTAAATCATGATGGTGTGGACTTTGGCCAGTTGGTAGTTAGGAGGGTGTAAGAAGTTACCCAGTATTCTGTCGGGAGGACTTTCTTTTTCTTTTCTTTTCTTTTTTTTTTTTTAAGATTTATTAGAAGGAGTGAGAGAGCACAAGCCAGGGTTGGGGGGCAGAGGGAGAAGCAGGCTTCCTGCGGAGCAGGGAGCCCGATGCGGGGCTCGATCCCAGGACCCCGGGACCATGACCCGAGCCGAAGGCAGACGCTTCACCGGCACAGGCGCCCGAGTCAGGAGGTGTTTCTAAGCGCACCTGTGCCTCTTCCACCCGCAGAGAAGACGAGCTTTCTCATCGTTCCAGTTCTTCAACCCCGTTGGCAACAGACAAGGAGGCCCCGGGAGAAAAGGGTAGGTTGATAAGCGCACAAGAGCGGCTTGCGGTGGGAGTGTTTCTGGAGGCTCCGAAAATGCGCGCCGAGCATCGCTGCGTGTGGGGCCTGTCCGTTCAGAGGTTTGTAGTCTGTGGTGCAGGCAGATCTACATCGCAGCCTGGCGTGATGGGCTGGCGGCCAGCCGAGGTGCCAGAATCTGCGGGCGAGCCGGTAGTACGCACTCGTCTGCCAGCGTTTGGGGCAGTTCCCTCTTTATGCCCTCCAGTCAGAAATAATCTTGCACACACTACCCAGGGCCCCAAGCACAGAAGATGCAACCTTCCAGAGGTACCCAGTGAAGAGAGGGTGGGAAGCCAGGTGGATAGACAAACCTAGCCATTTCTGGAAGAGAAGAGGAAGAAGACAAGTCTGTGTTTGTTTCTTTAGTTGCAGATACAAGCACATGGAAGGCGCAGACCTCGTGCAGCTCCCCGCCCACACCTGGCAGCTCCGGGCGGCGCAGGCGGAGGGTGCAGTTGCTGCCCTCCCGGCGAGGGGCCCAGCTGACGCTGGTAGGGCTCTTTCCGGCCACACCCGCCCGCCCCAGCACAGCGCTCCCCGGTTCTCGGGAAGCTGAACACAGGCCTCCTCCAGCTTCTCTGACTGACGGGCCTCTCGTCTTCCTCCCTGGCAGCCACCCCCTCCCCAGCTTGGCTACTCCATCACTGCCGAAGACCTCGATCTGGAAAAGAGAGCTTCGCTGCAGTGGTTTAACAAGGCCCTGGCAGACAGGACCGGTAAGGAAGACCGACCAGCTCCAGGCTCTGGAAAGGAGTCGTTCCCTGGGGTTTTAGCTGGATCCTTCTCATCTGAGAAATCATTTGGGTCCTCGGTGTTAGCGGAAACCGTGGGCACTGGTGTTGGGGAGACATTTCCAGATAAGTGGATCCCAAGCGCCCCGTGCTCTCTGATGTACCCCCAGAGAGAAGTACCCAACACTGTCTTTCTTCCTTGCTTAGATACTGCCTCGAGCTCTGTCGCCGAGAAGCCCCCTACCACTCAGCCTTCTCTGACGTTTACCCTGCCCACTGCTGGGACCACTGCCTCTCCAGCCACCCTCCCAGCCCCCAGCAGCAGCTTGCTGCTGGAGAGCTTGAAGAAGATGCAGAGTTGTGCAGGCCTATCGTCTGCCCCGGGTGAGTGGGAGAGCCTCTCCCCACCCCGCCCGCCCCGGCCCCGGAGCATAGAAGGATCTAGGTTTCCCTCAAAGTAAAAGCAGCTCGCCTGCCAGTCTCTGGAAATCTGTGGGAGCTTGAGCCTGCTGTGGCTCACCACACCCGAGCTGGTGTGCACCAAAGAGCTTCAGAAGTCTCTAATCAGGAAGCTTTTGGGAAGGGGGCTGCGACACTTAAAGCTGGGGTCAGTGGCCTCACTTTAGTAGTCCCGTGGTTCATGATTTGAAACTCCCTTCCTAAGCTGCTTGGAGCCTTGCTGTCACCCCCAGTAATATGCGAATAACATTGAGCTTGTGAGGCATGAGGCTTTCTGAAGTGGAAATGGGAGGTCACAGGGTTAGAGGTCCCGCCGCGCCCTTAGGCCATAGGCATAAGAGGACGGCGTCCTCTGCCCTTGAGGTCTCCAGGGCTCCGTCGCGGCACCGTATGTGCCCACATCCTCTCGTCACACTCCGTCACGTGGTGGGCTCTGTCAGGCATCGGCCTCTCCCAGGGCCTGGGGGAGGGACCCTTCTGTTGGCGGCTCTGTGCTCCGCGCTCGGCACACGGTAGGCAAATGCAGTAAGTCTTTCTTGGGTGAGGAAGGTGCATCTAGGTAATTAAGTGGACTTGAGTTTGGGTGATTGGATTTTCCTTAGTTTCCACACAGTTATCCCCCACTTAGGCCAAATCATATTCCGTCGTATCTTACGGTCTGTGAAGGGTGCAAATAGCGAACACTGCCTTGATTTTAGGGAGTGGATACTTGAAGGGTTTGCGGTATAGATGGAGTCAACATTCGTTGACTAACTCGGGAGCCCTAGCACTGCGCCGAGCAGGAGGGCGAGGGGGGCCACAGAAGCATTGAATGCCATCATGTTGGAGGTATTCAGAATTCACGTTCTCTCTTCTTCCCAGAATCCACTGGAGTGGCAACCACCGTGGCCCCTTTGCCTCCGAAGACACCCAGCCTTCTGGCCCCCCTTGGCTCCTCACAGTCAGGGCCCCTTCCAGGCACCTCCTCGGACTCCAAATCCGCAGCCACTCTCTTGGCGCTGACCCCTTCCACGTCCCCGACACCAGCCACTGACACCACCAGGTCACCTCCGGCTCCTCAGGCTGAGACATCTGACAAATCCCCAGCCCTGGCTGCCCCGTCCCCCACCCCCAAGCAGAGTCTTCTGCTGGGAATGCTGAGCACCCCACCTGCTGACCCCCCTGCATCTACAGCCCCTGCTGTGTCTTTAGCATCCCCCATGTTCAAGCCCATCTTTGCAGCCCCGCCAAAAAGCGAGAGCGAGGGCCCCTTGCCGTCCAGCCCCTCCAAGGTCCCCACCACACCTTCCAGCTCTGCCCTCCCTGCACCTGCTAGCCACCCTCAGCCCACGTTCAAGCCGATCTTTGGCAGCGTGGGGCTCCCTCCACCTGCGCCCTTGTCCGCCCCCTTCTCCTTCGGTCAGACCGCTGCTCTAGCCACTGCCACGAGCACCACTCTCTTCGCTGGCCAGGCCAGTGCCGCCTCAGCCGTGGCTCCCGTGGCTCCCGTGAGCACGGCCAGCACGTCGGCAGACTCGGCTTCGAAGCCCGCGTTCAGCTTTGGCGTGAGCAGCGTGACCAGCACCACCACCTCCGCTGCCGCGCCTTTCCTCTTTGGGGCGCCCCCAGCCTCCGGCGCCAGCTTTAGCCCGGCCATGGGCTCCGTCTTCCAGTTCGGCAAGCCCCCTGCCGCGCCCACATCGACGGCCGCCACCACGTTTGGCCAGTCAGTCCCCGGGGCCGCGCAGACAGCCGCCAGCAGCGGCGGCACCTCCGGCTTCGGCGGCTTCGGCGGTGGCCTCACCACACCCGCGCCCGCCACCAGCAGCCCGCTGGCCCTGACCTTCACCACCACCACCACCGCCGCCGCCCCGGCCTTCCACATTCCCTTCGGCTCGAGCCCCAAGCCCGCGCCGCCGTCGTACCCGGGCGCCAACCCCCAGCCCGCGTTCGGGGCCGCCGACGGGCAGCAGCAGGGGCCCGCCAAGCCCGCCCTCGCCCCCAGCTTCGGCAGCTCTTTCGCTTTCGCGAACTCCGCGGCCCCGGCCCAGGCCGCTGCCCCGGCGCCCGGCCCGGCCCAGCCCGCCTTCGGCAGCGCCGCACAGTCCGCTTTCGGCGGCTTGAAGCCTGCCGCGTCCACCTTCGGCACCCCCGCCAGCACCCAGCCTGCTTTCGGCAGCGGCACGCCTGTGTTCTCCTTCGGGGCGGCCACCACCTCGGGTTTTGGAGCTACGACCCAAACCACCAGCAGCGGGACTGGCAGCTCCGTGTTCGGCGGCACGACGCTGTCGCCCTTCACGTTTGGGGGATCCGCCGGCCCGGCCGGCGGCGGGGGCTTTGGGATCAACGTGGCCGCCCCCGGCACCTCCGGAGCGTTCAGCTTTGGCACGGGACAGAGTGGGAGCACCGGTGGCACAACCCCTTTCGGAGGAGGCTTGAGTCAGAGCACGTTGGGCGCTCCCAGTCAGAGCACACCCTTTGCCTTCAACGTGGCCGGCACGCCCGAGAGCAAACCTGTGTTTGGAGGTAAGCTCGGGAATGGCCTCGGTCCGCCACACCGGGCGCGGGTCTAAATGCCTGCTCGGCCCCCTCGCCCACAGAGCGCTACAGTCTGGCTGGGCCCGGGCTGATGGTCAGTAGTTAGACACGGGCTCGGGGAGCCGGAAGCCTCCGGGCAGGGGGCAGTGCGCCCTGAGTGGCCGTGGAGGAGCTCCTCGGGTAGTCAAGGAGGGCGGGCCTCTCCAGGGCCCGGGAGTGTGGTGGGTAGGTGTGTGTGTGTGTGAGCGCACGCTTTTCGGGCACACGGGCACTGGTGCAGAGGCCCAGGGGTAGGAGCAAGCTCGCTCTGTTCGTGAACAAAAAGCAAGGTGCGGCTTGAGGATCTAAAAATGGAAATGATCCAAAATGCTGTGGAGAGGCGGGCTGCGTTGAAAGTCATTCAGGGCAAGGATTAAATTTGGAGTACAGAGGGAAATCCCTGTAGAATTTCGGGAGAATGAAGTGATCTTAGCCGCCCCGCGGAAGGTGACTCAGAGAGCTCCTGATGGTTTGTGTTCTTAAATGTGAGCGTGGACTGGGGAGGTGTGGGCCTCGAAGTAGTCATTCGGAGAGTGAGTAAAGGAATGTAATGAGAACCTGGTAGAATTGCCAGGAAGTTGTGAGCGCCGGAGAATTGCGATAATGAATTTGAGGTGAGGCCAGCCCGCACAGCAACATTCACACGAGCGCTGGGGGGCAGGGGAGACCCCGCCTATGGCAGCTCCAACAGGTTCCCGGGGGGGGGGGCGCGCAGGGACCTGGGGGCCCCCTGGGAGCTAGGATAATCCCTGGCGGCGGTGAGGGGTGACCATAGGGGGCAGGGGTGGAGGCAGACAGCGAGATGGCAAGCTCCGGGCCAGAGTGAGGCGGCCAGCCCTCCCTGCGGGCGGTCAGGAGGCAGTGGTGGGACTGGACAGTGGGCTTCTGGTGGCGAGAGCAGAGGCGGTCTGCTGTGGCCATGGGAAGGCGAGAGGACCCACGGGCTGGGGGTGGGGGCGGTGTTTGGTGGAAGGCTCAGGTTTCTGGAGGGAGGGACAGGTAAACAGGGAGAGGAGGCAGAACTCAGTCATCAGAGGGATGTAACCTGGTCAAACTGAGCGTTCCCCTCCTGTGCTTTGGTGGCCACGGAAATGCAGAAAGACTGCTCCGTAGGCCAGAGGGCAGCACTGTGGGGCTTTGGCTCGGCTGCAGCTGGTGGGGACAGCAGCAGTCCCTACCCACCACTGGGGTGAGCCAGCACGGGGGGCCAGGGCAGAGGTGCCCTGTGGGGTCACCCCCCCCCAGCTTCAGTACCCGGCCCGGGATGCCCTCTGCGCACTGGCCTAGTCGCTAGTTTTCTGCGGTCTCTTCGTTCTAGGCACCTCCACACCCACCTTTGGTCAGAACACCCCTGCCCCCGGGGTGGGCGCGTCGGGCAGTGGTCTCTCCTTTGGGGCATCCTCAACACCCACCCAAGGCTTTGTTGGAGTCGGACCTTTCGGTAAGCAGCAAGTCCCCTTGGCGCCAGTGTGACCTTCCTATTTCTCCAGAGAGGGAGGGGGGCTTGGCAGGTTCTTGCTCTGGGGCCCCCCTGGGAAAGATCAGCCTCATAAGCTCGAGAAACATGTGGCCCAGCTGGAAGGCCAGCCCAGCCCAGCCCATGGAGTTGGGGGAATGTTCCCAACCACTGGAAAGCCAGGTAACAATGCCTTCCGGCTCACTAGCAGAGGATCTGGGATTCTGCATTTTTACTAGTTCCTCTCCACCCCACCCCCCACCAACTGACATGGTTTTGGGAGGCCCAGTTTAGTACCCGGCCTTCTGCTGGCCTAACCTTCCAAAGATTGGGGTGCCCGGGGAGGTGCCCCAGGCAGCAACTGCCCTGATGAGACCTTGTTGCATCTTTCTAGGCTCGGCGGCCCCTTCCTTTTCCATTGGTGCAGGATCCAAGACCCCGGGGGCTCGGCAGCGACTGCAGGCCCGCAGGCAGCACACCCGCAAGAAATAGCCTTTGTCCCCCTTCCATCCCCCCGACTCCTTGCCCAAATGTGGACCTCAGCACCTGCTAGGAAGAGCCTCTGACCCTTTTAGTTCCATAGAGCACCCCGCCCCCCGCCATCTCTGGCTTCTGCCAGTGGGGAGGCAGTGGCAGCCCTGGTGGCGGGTCCCTCTCCTCGAGGAAGCAGCCTCGGGGCTGGGGGCGGGGCAGCCTGCTCCCTGTACTTGAACAGCTCCGCAGGGAGGCTGGAGAGCGTGCGAGAACATCTGTACATATGGTCCCCCTCCTTCCCTGACTCCTGTGTGGTGTGTGAGCGCCGTCAGGCGGCCTCCCTTCCCGCCGCTCCCCGCAAGAGCCGGCTTGGGGTGGGGGGGGGGTCGCGGGCACAGCCCTCGCCCACGTCGCCGCTGGGGACGGGAGTCGGGGAGCTGGGTCAGCCCCGCAGCTTTACCTTGCTTGGCTTGCCTATAAAGTGGTTCTCCCCGGGGCCCATTAGGGGACCCTGCTTCCCCATCTCTTGCTTTGTCCCTCACCGGTTCCTTGCAGGATCCACTCCTTTAAGTGGCCCTGAATTTCGCTTTGCTTTGGAGACCCCAGTGGGTGGTGCTCCTGCCAAGTCCAAGTCGATGTTTTGTCCCCCACCCTCTGCCAGTTTGGCCCCTAAAAGCTTGGTGGCTCAAGACTGTTAGCCTGGCAGCTGCAGGGGAGGAAGCGCCGGGAGCAGGCAGGACGTCCCCCCACTGTTCAGCTGCCTCCTCACCCGCCGCCCCCCCCCCGCCCGGTTGTATGTTCAAAGCCTTGTCCTGTGTTACTGTCTGATGCTCATGTCTATTGCTCTTTGAATCGAGTTTGGAGGAAGAATTGAATTGTATGAGTGGCGGCATGTTGGTAGTGCCGGACTTAACTGTTCCAAGTTTCTGGGGCCTCGCTAATTGAATGTGGGAAGTAGCACCACTTTATGGCTACGCGTGCTGACTCCTGGATTTGCAAATGGTGTTTTGACTTTAAGGGCTGGCAGCCCAAGAGGATGGGGCCGAGGGGAAGCAAAGACCTCTTCCCTCCGCCGGTTCCCTCCCCCCCCCCCCCCCCCCCCCCCCCCCCCCCCCCCCGCCGGCTAGATCCGCCCCAGGATGTGGTAGAAAACCAAAATTAGTGAACCACACTTCAGAGTTCTTCAGGTTCCTCCCCCTTACCCCCTCTGTTCCCAGATCACCTACCCCGGGCCCGAGAGCCTTGCTGCCATGCCCATCCTCTTTGGGAGAAGTATGAATGCGTGTGTCTAAATTAAAAGAAAAAAATATTTAAACATTTTTTAACAAAATAAAAATTTATTTTTGTATTTAAGCTAAATTGCCTTTTAAATTCCTTCAAGCTTGGTTCACTGAGGTGGTTTAAGTATAAATGCTGTTCACTAGGAATTAGCTGTATAGGTAAGTTATGCCCGTAAGAGGCTCAGATGCTGTCCTCGGCAGCTCTCCTGAGGGGCCAGGGCTCCTTCAGGACACACGATGTAAAATGTAATTCTTATTTTATAAATAATGTGACGTAGATGTAACTAGTTCCCCCCTCACCCGTGACTGAGGTTGAGTGCTATGGCAGGCGACGGTCATGGCCGTCCCCGTCACCCCCCCCCCCAGCCCGGCCCCGGGAAAAGCAGACCCGACTTCCTGCGTGCGGAGCTGAGGGAGAGGCCTGCACCTCACGTCCCAAATCCCTGTTAGGATGCGGGGGGGTGGGGGGGGCACACGGGTCTAGAAAGCAAGCTTCCACAGATACCTGACGGAAGGTAGGTCCCTCTTCGCTGCAGTGCTCTGAGCTAGTTTACCTCGGTTCCACAGGCAGGACGGTTGGTCCGGGAGCCCCCGGAAGAGGGTGTCCTGGTGCAGCCCGTGTGTGGGGGGGGGGGGTTGTGTACACGGGTGTGTGTGTATACGCGGACGTGCACTGGACAGGAACCGGAGGCTGGGACTTTCCATGACAAAGAGTTAATTCCTGTGAGTCTAGTTGGAATTTTTAGTATGAATGTGAAATTTTTCTCCTTGCTTATGTCATTAAGAATAAAAAACAACTGTGATCTATCGTATTCCGTGGCCCGCCTTTTATTTCTGTGGGCAGAACTCTCTCACCAGCAGGAACACGGCCCGGGGAAGGGACCCACAGGACGAGGAAATCCACTCTCTTCCCCTCCGCGCTGGAGATTCAGGGTTACCGCTTTCCTTTCTAAAGCAATAAAAAGAAAAGAACCTTTCAAAAACGTGCTGGCTGAGCTGCGGGGAGGACCGGGCTCCTCCTCCCTGCCTGAGGAGAAGCCCCGCGGACCTGCTGTGTGCGGGGCTGCGCGCCAGGAGCCACGGCCTGGCGCCGTCTCTTCTTCCTCCGCGGGGCTGCGCTGGGTGTGGGTTCGGGCGCCGCCGCTTCAGCCTGCGGGACTGAGCTAGAAGGAAAGCACCTAAGTTAAGTGCAGCCCGGCCCTCCGGCGCCTTCCATGCAGCCCCCGTGCCCGCCCCCTCACTCACCTTGGCACCTCTACTCTTTCCAGAACGGCAACAAAGAAGCCACCAGTGAGCGTGGTCTCGGGGGAAGCCCGGAGGCAGTGTTCAGCCCCGGGGAAAGTGCCGAGGCCTCGGTGGGGCCAGGAGGGTAGGACGGGAACTAGCCTGTGGAGAACAGCAGAGTTCTGGGTAAAAAGAGCAGCAGCCCCCTTCCCCAGGACCCCGGCGGGGACCTCCTCAACCCCCGCCCCGCTACCTGAAGGTCCCTGGGTTCTGCTGCAGGGCGTCACACACCACATCTTCATTCTCCTCCTGGCAGAGGGAGCACGTGGAGTAGACCAGACGCTGCAGGGAGGGGAAGGTGAGCGCGTGGCGCAGTGCTCGCTGCTGGAACCCAGCCAGGGCCTGCAGGCGTGCCTTGCTCGGGGTGCCTGCCCCGGGCTCCTCCAGCTGTCTGGCTGGCATTCCTACGGACAGAGCGTGTCAGCTGCAGACGGCCTCGCTTCGCACAGAGATGCCCTGCTTCACAGGTGAGAACATTTGCCTGGGGTCACCAGACGAGGAGGGTCCGAGCTAAACCTGAGGCCAACGCGGACCCCAGAGCTGCAGGTCCCTCAGACACACACTGTCCCCCTCTCACCTGAGCCGCTACAAGAAGGATCCAGTAAGATGTACTGGACCTGACGGTAGCGCTGGTCAGAGGGTGAGACCGCCAGGAAGTCTTCCTCCGCCAGCTCGCAGCACGAGACCCCAGCCCGGGCCAGCAGGGTAGCCATGGACGCCAGGCGCCCGGCATCCAGGTCAAAGGCAAAGATCTTCCTGGGGGACAGGAGAGAGCTGAGGCGCATCGCCGGGCATCTAAGGGCCCACAGATCTGACAGGCAGGAACACGTCCATTCGGGACACAGGAAAGAAGGGACAGCGTCCAGTTGGAGGGACCTGACCCTGGGGCTTCAGATCTCGCACCGGCCGCCCACTGGGCAGCTGAGCGTAGGGCTCCAGCACCAACCGCTCTAGGTCCAGATGGAATTCCTCTGGGCCTCCGTGCCCGGCTGGAACACAGAGTGCCCGACCTCCAAGGACATGACCGGGCCCCGTGTCCCCCCTCCCCCCGCCCCCGGGGCTGACCGTGGCACTCACCCCTGGTTCTTGAGGAGAGCGGCCAAGTGACTGGTCTTGTTGCCGGGGGCGGCACAGGCGTCGATGACGTGGGCGCCCGGGGGCGGGGCCAGCAGCGCAGCGGGGAGGCAGCTGGCCTGGCGGGCAGAGCGCAGCGCTGGGGCACCGGGACGCCCGGCCAGCCCACGCATGCGCGCCGCCCCCCTCCCCGTCCCGCCCACCTGCCCCACCTTGTCCTGTAGGATGAGGTGACCCGCCCGGTACAGTGGGTGGTCGTGCAGATCCATCTGGGCCGGAAACACCAGCAGCTCTGGCAACAAGGGATCCAGAAGAAAGCACCTGCCTCGGAGGGCCCTCGCGTCCTCGAGGCTGCCAGGGAACAAGAAGCACTGACCATGCTGGGAGTTCCTGCAGGCCGAGCGCCAGGCTGGGCCTGTTACCCGTGACCCACGGGCCTCGCACTGCTATGGAGAAAGGGAGAGGCGGCCGGTGGGGGAAACGAATGGGCGCTCAGGCCAGCCCTGGGGGGGTCCCACCTCCGCCGTTTTCCGGGGGCGGAAAGCGCCTTCGTCTCACCCCCTCGCGCTTCTGGGGTGCGGGTGCCGTGAGGACGGAGTTACTACATACGAAACACTTAGAAAAGCAGCCGGCACAAGCGAGGCGATCCAGAAATGCCAGTCAGCACTCGAAAACATAGGCGGGGGGGCGGGGGTGAAAGGCGCACTCCCCGAACTCGGGGAAGGAGCACGCGGCGCGGCACCCGCCCCACGCCAGGCGGGTCCGAAAGCTACCCGGGGGCAGAGCCGAGGCCAGGCCCGAGCAGCCATCCCCCCGCTGCACCACCCTGGCCTCCACGGGCAGGAGGGGAAAGGGAGGGAGCAGAGGCGACTTCCCAGAGCTGTCAAACCCCGAGGAGGTGCGGGGGTGCAGGGGAGCACCGCGGCCCGGGAAGCAGGGGGCACAGCCCAGGGGCCAGCCCAGGAAGGGTCTTCGGCTGAGAGAATTTTCTGCAGCCAACCACAGTTGAAGTCTGGAAGTGGGGAGACCAGTTGAGGAGGTTCTTCAGCCCATGAGGATAGAAAATGACAGGCAGGGTCTGGGAGGACAGAAAGGTACAGCGGGCAGGGTGGGCGTGACAGGGGGACACGACTCGGCCGCCAGCCTGGCCGCCACCTGTTCGCTGACGACAGGGAACGCTGAGGCGCAAAGTGCAGGGACATGGGACGCTTCCACACCCGCAAGCCAACCATACCCTGCCCCACATTCACAAAATGAAGGACAAGGATCCTGCTCGTCTCATCTGACGAGATTCAGCATCCATTCACGATAAAAGCTCACCAGAGCGGGTGTCGAGGGCACACACCTCAACATAATACAGGCCACATGTGAAAAGCCCACAGCTAACATACTCGGGGGTGAAAAGCTAAAAGCCCTTCCTCTAGGATCAAGAGTAAGACAAGGAAGCCCGCCGCCCGTTTTATTCAACAGAACCTAGCCAGCACATCAGGCAAGATAAATAAGAGGCACCCAAGCTGGAAAGGAAAAAGTAAAACTATTTGCAGATGACACATGCAGAAAACCCTAAAAAGTCCAACCAAAAAACTGTTAGAACTTTTAAACGGATTCAGTAAAGCAGTAGGATACAGAATCCACATACGAAAATCTGTTGTGTTTCTTATACACAGACTGAACAAACCATTAGGGGAGGTCACGGAGGTGATGTGGCCACCCGCCAGGGGCAGGACCCGGACAGTCCGGTTCCTCACCCCCGCCCCTGGGACGTGCATCCCGCTTGCCTTCCCCACTCCCCGACGCCGCCCAAGGACACAGCCTTGAGAGAGCGATAGGGTGTAGAGACCATCTGGAAGGCAGGAGGCTGAACCCATGAAGGCCTCTATATAGACTCCGAAGATGCTGGCAGGTGGGCGTGGGGACGTCTTGCTTGCTGCCGCCCCCGACAAGCTTCCCAGGTAAGTCCCCTTGCTTACGAAGTCTGCGCCCTACCCGTCCAGAGCGGCCCGCCTCTTTCTTGGTCTCTCCCTACCCTCCGCATCGCGGGGCCGGTTCAGACCGCACCCGGGAAGCTCCCGAGATCGCACCCCAACCATGGGAAAGCCAGCCTGGAGACCAAACACATGGTCCGCGGGGGAAGTCCCCAGTTGGCCAGTGACCACTGTGTGGCGCAGGGTGGCCCCTACATCAGATGCTGGGGGACCCCTGCTGAGTACGGGGACACCCCGAAAGCACAGGCCACTTTAACGCGCTCGTTGGAGAAACTGCACGGATGGCCCTGCGGCAGAGCAAATGGGGCGGGGCGGGGGGGGGCAAGGAGAGGAGAAGCAGAGGGCTTTGGACGGCTGGACGGCCGAAGCACCCCGCACTAGCAGATCCCTAATACAAGAGCAAGAGCAGCCCCCCAGTTCAGGCAACTCTCCTGACAAGGGGGTCTCCTCCCTCTGAGCTCGCGGACACGCTGCCAAGTTCCAGCTGAAGGCCGGGGGGGAGCATCCCGCATGGCGATGGCTGCCCCGACCGCGCAGGGGCCGGAGAAAAGGAGCCACATCCCCACACACCCTGCCGCCCTCCAGCAGGGGCTGCGTGGCGCGCTTACAGGAAGTGCAAGGTACTTATGTCCTCATACTGGACTATTCTAGCCCGCAGGGAGGCTTGGCCCAATGAGGGGGAGCTTCCTGGGCATGCGGGACCTCAGGAATCTACAGAGAAGTCCAGCGAATTCTTAGGGAGTTGGGAACGAGACGGGCCACCTGCATCCCGGTCTCTGAAAGCCCTGATAGGGCCCCGTCATGGCAGGAAGGAAAGCCAGCTCCAGTCGGCCCCCAGCGCGGAGTACGGGCTGCTCACAGGCACACTGAGCCCACTTGTGCAACACAGACATTCAGGGTGCTGTGGGAGAGACCCGGGACCAAGATGGAGCTCAAAAGGCCACCCCCAATCGACCGGAAGGGGTCTGGAGAATGGAACCTGGAAGCACATGGACTTGACCTCATTGCTGCGGGGGCCCCCAGCGGAACAGAGAGGTCAGCCTGTGGAAAGCCTTAAAACCTGAGCAACGATGCCCGTCAAGAAAGTCCCTTGATACTGCCAACTGGGCATCCTCCCCCTCCCCGAGAACGTGGGGTCTCTCTCTCCCCAGGACTAGGGAACACACCCGGTCTGGTATCCTACCAGGTCAAACTCTTAAGGGTGAATTCCACCTGAGGGCTAATCAAACCAGTGCTGAGGGCAAACGCCCCAACTGAGGAACCCGGGAGCCTGCCACCCCCTCAAAGAGTAACTGTCACACAACACATGCCACACAGGGAAGGAGGAGAAACCCGCCAAGAGCGACACCAAGGGGGCACGACATGCCCTGCCCTGGCACAAGCCTTGTACAGAAGTTCCCTTATTACTGAACCCACCCCACGTCGATCTGGAGCGGCCTGCCTCTCTCCGTTCTCTCTCTGGCCCTGCCCTGTGCGTATGGGGGCTGGTTTCAGATGATACCTGGAAGGCTCCCAAAGAGTTTGCAAACCAACATTATCAGAAAGAGAAATTAAGAAAACAATCCCATTTACACTTGTATCCAAAAAAAAACCCAAAAAACTAGAAATAAATTCAACCAAGGAGGTGAAAGACCTGTACTCTGCAACTGTAAGATATGCAGGAAACTGAAGATGACACAAATGAAAAGACACTCCATGTTCATAGATTAGAATAGTTAAAATGCCCATACTACCCAAAGTAGTCTACAGATCCAATGCAATCTCTAGCAAATTCCAATGGAAATTTTACAGACAGAGAACAATCCTAAAATTCGTATGGAACCACAAAGGACCCCGAGTAGCCAGACCAATCTTGAGAAAGCTCGAGATCTCACGCTCCCTGATTTCAAACTGTATTACAAAGCTACAGAAATCAAAATACTATTGGTACTGGCATAAAAACAGACCCGCAGATGAAACAAAATAGCCCAGAAATAAACCCATACTTATATGGCCGATTAATTTATAACAAAGGAGCCAAGAATACACAACGGGGAAAAAACAGTCTCTTCAATAATGGTTTTGGGAAAATGGAGGCCACAAGCAAAAGAATGAAACTTGGACAAAGACATTTTTTCCAAAGACAGACAGATGGCCAACAGGTACACGAAAAGGAGCTGAACACCATGAGTCATCAGGGAAATGCATATCAGAACCACAATGAGCTCTCACCTCACACCTGTCAGAATGGCTATTACCAAAAAGATAAAAAACGACAAGTGTCGGTGAGGATGTGCGAAAAGGGAACCCTCTTGCACTGTTGGTGGGAGCGCAAACTGGTGCAGCCACTGTGGAAAACAGTATAGAGGTTCATCAAAAAATTAAAACTAGAACTACCATATGATCCAGCAATTCCATTTCTAGGTATTTATCCAAGGAAAAGGAAAACACTAATTCAAAAAGATATCTGGACCTTGTTTACTGCAGATTTAGAATCACCAAGACATGGAACCACCTACGCGTCAACTGTTAGATGAATAAAGAAAACATGTAACTATATACAATCTGTGGGTACATACACACAGAAGAATATTATTTAGCCACAAAAAATAAAATATTGCCATTTGCAACCACACGGATGGACCTTGAAAGTATTACGCTGAATGAAATAAACAGAGAAAGACAAATACTGTATGTTCTCACTCATATATGGACTCTCTTTAAAAAAAAAAAACCTCGTAAATACAGAGAACAGGTTTGTAACTGTGGGGAGGGGAACTGCAAAAGGGGTAAAGGTGGTTAAAAGGTACAAATTCCCAGTTTTAAGATACATAAGTCCCAGGGATCTAATGCACAGTATGGTGACTATAATAAATATTGTACTGTATATTTGAAAGAGGCTAAGAGATCTTAAAAGTTCTTATCACAAGAGGGAGCACCTGGGTGGCTGAGTCAGTGAAGCGTCTAACTCTTGATACGGGCTCAAGTCATGATCTCAGGGTTGTGAGATCAAGCTGAGCCCTGCTTCGGACTCCACACAGGGTATGGAGCCTGCTTGAGATTCTCCCTCTCCCTCTGCCCCTCCCACCCCTAAAAAAAAGTTCTCATCATAAGAAAAAACACCTTCTGTAATTCCATGTGGTGATAAATGATAACCAGACTTATTGTAGCCATTATTTTGCAACATACACACATACCAAGTCATCACACTGTCTCCCTGAAACTAATGTTACATGTCAATTATACCTCAGAAAAAAAAAAACAAAAAAAAACGCCGCAAAATAATCTAGTAATGTGTGTTTAAGCACATTGTTTTGGAAGGATTTCTCCTAAATCTTGAATCTTGAATAAACAGAATTTAACAATTAAAAAAGAAGAAGGTGCAAAGTTCAGGGGGAAGATGAATTTAGTCCGACACTTGCTGTGGCTGCCGTGCCTAAGGAACACTGAGATGAACCTGAGGGCGGGAATACAGAGAGAAATCTAGACTGGGAGACTCGAATCATCACGGGAGAAACAAGAGTCAGAGCAAGGGAAATGGATACATTAGAAGAACTGAGACTGGAACTCCCAGGAGAATCAATGTTAAGGGATGGAGGAAAGCCAGGCCTCCAAAGGAGAGGGAGAAACTGCTGGAAAAGTACGAGAAAACCAGAGCGCAGTCACCACCACCCCTCCTCTTCCCCCGAATCCCTGTTTCCCAGGGGCCCCAGGGACCTCCCCAGACAGGAGGGGAGCAAGGCAGGGTTCTCAGCTCACCTGGAAGCCCGACCCTGATAGGAGAAACCTTGTCTCTTGAAGTAATCAACTGCATCATCAAGGCTGGTCTTGAGAGTGTTCACCCGCACAAATCGAGGCACCTGGGAGGCTAGGAATCAGCAGTGAGTGGGCAGGATCGAGGCCCTCTCCTCTGAGGGCCTGAGAGCCGCCCTCCTCCCAACAACTCCTTCCAGCTCACCTGTGCCAGGCCTGGATCCTACTTGCAACAGGTCCTCGTTGCGGCTCACACGGCGCTGAACCTTGAGCCGGGCCAACTCAGCCTTCAGCCTTGCCTGGTGCCGGTCCAGCAAAGGTTTCCATCGGCCCCCGCCCCCTCTGAAGCCTTTCCCCAGCAACAACTCATACACTAGCACCTGGGGATTGGGAAAGAACGAGAAAAAACCCTAAGTACAGCGTTGGAACTGGAGGCGCTAACCAAACCACTTATTGAGGCAGTAACAGATAAAAGTGAGGTATTTTGCCCAAGACCGCACGAAAGATTAAAGGCAAACACGGGCGCTGAGCCCTGTGTCTTGCTTCCCTGCCCCGAACCGTCTCCCCAGGGCTGCTCACCAGCAGAGCCCCGGATCCTAACCCTCCTCCTTGTCAACACCACCCTTTTGTTTTAGCTAGAGTCCCCGCCGTGGCTACTTAGCAATTCTGTTCTTAATTTCCACACGAGGCTCAAAGGTACAGCACTTTCATCCGACCTCAAATAATGACCCGGCTAGAGACCGCTCATCCGCATTTCATAGAGGCGACTTGCTGAAGTCACGCCGTGGACGGTACGGCGCTGAGACAGGTCCGGAGAGGCTCACAGCCCCGCCCCGCCCCGCCCCCTGGCCCCGCTACCTTGGCCAGGTGCGGCCGCAGCTTCTTCTCGGCGCGGAGGAGGCCGGCGCTGGCGATCACGGCGTCCAGCACGGCGGAGTAGCGCTGCGTCTCGCACACGAGCGCGTACAGCTGCTTCACGTTCTGCGCGCGGCCGAGAGAACACCGGCTAAGGCGGGGGCCGGGCCCAGCTGGCCCCCCCCTCCGCAGCCCCCTTCTCTCCCCGCAAGCCAGGCCCGAACCACGAACCCCCGCTACCTGGAAGCTGCTGGCGTACACCAGCCCCTTGATGGAGCCCCGGCGGCTTTCCACGCCCGCCAGCACAGACGCCGCGGTCGCGTACAGCGCCATGCTTCGCTCCCACGCGCCTTTACGGCTCTGTCGCGAAGCACGCCCGCCTCGGCACCGCCCTGTCCGCCCCCACTTCCGGGGCAAAGGGCACGGAGGTGGCGACCCGGAAACCCCAGGGGCCTTCCAGGGCTCCCGAGGCCTGTGTGAGGTGGAGTGCTGGGAGAGCGTTTTCCCCTCCTTTTCGTACCTCTTCCCTTTTTTTTCTTCCAATCTTTGCCAGATAGGCAATGGGATTTTACTGCTGTTTTGTTAGAGCTTGAATATTTTGTGTTTATTGATCCTTTGCATTCTAACACGTTAATGTCTTTTGGTCACTCTTCTACCATCTCTTAGTGTCCTTTGTATGTTAACAATATATACCTCGTCTTAGGTATATTTTTCTACAATTTACTGTTGCTTTTTAATGTGGCTTATTGTTTTGGACTTTTTTTTAAATTATGGTTTCTGCCTTTGACGTCATACTTAGAAACGCCTTCTTCACATCTTTACAATATAGCAATCACTATGCCTTCATTTTTTCACACCTTTAACCATTTAGAATTCAGTTTGGCACATGATGTGAGGAAGAGTGCTTCGTTTCCAAATGGCTGGCTTTTCGTGCATTGTAGTAATTCACTTATAGGAAAGTTTCCCCAGCAGACCTCTGGGAGAACAAGGATTGTGTAGGATTTGCCTCTGTCCCCAGCATCCATGTGGTCACCGGTACACATTAAGTTGGATTGAATAAATCTAGTACATGTGTATTTCAAGCATTCAAGTAGACAGGCCTCCATGGACCAGAATACTCCCGCCTGTACATTCTCTGTATTGCCAACAGCACATCAGCAAGCGTTTGGCAAGGGAATTGACTCGAGTCTACATCAAAATTGTTTAAACGTTTAATCCAGTCCTGTGGCTCTAGGTTGGTTAATAGTGATCTTTGAGTGGAAACCCCACCCCCAAGTGAGTAACATCTATTTTATTTTCATAGCACCTGTTCCATATGTAGTTATGATTTATTCTCTAGCTGGCTCCATGAGGGCAAATCCCGTTTGACACTCATTTATCCGTGCCTCCTAAACCAGTGTTCTTCTCACAGTAAGGACCTAACATCTGTTGTGTAAGGGAAGAAGTGAATGAATGGAGCACAAACATATGGACAGCTGGACAGCCAGCTGTGCCAGTTAACCCATCCTAAAACAATCCCAATCCCCACACTCCTTCAGGTGAGTGGCTAACAAGTGCATCAATATTAATAAAGTCCACAGTTGACTCAGATTTTAGTTTTTACTTAATGTCTATTCTGTTCGGAAGTCTCATCTAGGACACCACGTTAAATTCAGTTGTCACGTCTCTGGCTGTGACAATTTCTCAGACTTTCCTGATTTTTGACGACCTTGATGGTGTTGAGGAATCCTGGTCAGTGTTTTGTAGAATGTCTCTCATTTGGGATTTGTCTAAATTTTTTCTTCTCATCAGATTGGGCTTATACAGGTAAAGTACCATCCTCATCAGATCACATCAAGGGCATATAGTATCAACATGACCTTCACTGTTGTTAACCTTGATCACCTGGCTAAGATTCACATTTCTCCACTGTAAACTAGTCTTTATCCCTCTGTTCCCTCTGGAAAGTCACTATGCACAGCCCAGCCTTTAAGGAGTAGGGGGTTATACTCTACCTCTTTGAGGGGAAAGTAGCTACATAAATTATTTGGAATCCTTCTGCAGAATGCTCTCTTCTCCCAGATTTATTTAATTAGCCAGTCGTTTATCAGTATGGACTCATAGATATTTACTTTATACTTTGAGTTGTAATCCAGTACAGGTATCCTTTTTGGTTTTGTTTTTTTTTGTTAAGTATGCTCCACACCCAGTGTGGAGCCCATGTGGGGTTTGATCTCACCACCCTGAGATCAAGACCTGAGCTGAGATCAAGAGTTGGATGCTCGACTGAGCACCCAGGCACCCCATCCCCCTTTTTGAAAGTTTGCATTACACCACTTCACTTTTATGAAAGACCTAGACTAGTACCTGTTTTTGTTAACTGAAAGAAATCCTAAGAGGATTTTCACTTTTATGAAAAAAGGGGAAAAGTAAAAATAGTATTGTTTTGCAGCAAGCCCTTGTAGAGGCAGCACGCACCCCAGTGAGAGTGACGCTGCCAAGCTCCTTCCCCAAGATCTACAGACGCAGCATCTTAACACCAAGCCTCCGAAGCTCTGAACTGTGCTTTATCTCAATTGACTGTGTGGATTCATTTGCAAGGTGTATCCTAAGGTAAGAAAAGCTTAAAAGCAGTTAATTTGGGGGGTCTGGTAACACTAAAAAATGTTTCCATATACAGTAATGGTAATTGCTGATTCTCATTACTCCACCTCAGCTAATGACAGATTTCACAGGAACACTCTACTTTCTGATAGTGGGGAAACCTGTACTGTTTTGTCACTCAAATTTTTCCCATTTTGGCCACTGGGAGTGCTTTCAATGGGCTCCCATGTCCCTTTGAAAAGCCTCTATTACTATAGGGGTTTTTCACACCTTTGTTTGTGAGCGCTTCCTGGCACTCCAAGCGGCTTATGGCTCAGGGTTATTTCCTGCCCCAGTCCTAGAACCAGCTATTTCTCCAAGGAGCCCTGATTCCTCTTCATTGGAGAATGGCTATTAAGAGCCAAGATGTGGACGCTAGGTGACCTGTGCCTTATAATGTCTAATACGTGACCCCTAGAAAACTTCACCTTACATATGTGGCTCATGTATTTCTGTAAGACAAGTTGTAGTCTCCTCTAGCCTAAAAATGCCTTCTCTTAATCCCACCTTCTCTCAGACTCATGACCCAGTTTTCTTCCCTTCCCCATCCAGCTGCTTAAAACAAGAATCAGTAGTGATTGCCTTTCTTTCTCATGTACTATGTAACCCCCTGCAGTCTGTCTCCCACGCTAGTCCACAGACACGGCTTCCTCCAAGGCCACCAAGAATCTCCTAATATTCCTCAGGCCTTTCCTGCTGAGGCTGGGTTTTCACGGCCCTGCTGGGCACACCTTCTCTGTTGGAAAGCTTTGGCTTCCATGATCTTTGCTGCTGGCACTCCCTCCCAGTTCTCTGATCATTTCTACGGTTCTTTGGCAACCTTTGTCTAAGCTGCTTAAGTTCTGCTGTTCCATCCTCTGACCTCCTTTCTGTCGCCTAGTATTTTCTCCCTGGGCAGACTCTCCCACTCCCACGCTGTCATTACTACAGAAAAAGTTAATATACACTAAAATAGTATCGATGGTCCTCCATGGTCTAGGCTCCACCCCCTCTGCAGGTCCAGCTCCAGCTGCAGCATCCCTCCGTGGACTGGACCCCCCAAAACTCCTCTCCTCTGCCTGTATTCCACTTCTTTCAGCTTAAATGCCAACTCCACATAATGAATAAACTGCTCTTTCATCTGCCTTCTCCATACTGAATGGGTATTTTGGTTGCAAGCACAAACACTAACTCTGGCCAGCCAAACAAGAGGGGATTTACTGAGTGAGTGCAGAGAGGTATGCCACTGTGTGTCAGCAGCTGGCGGGGGCAGAGATGAGCACACAATGGTAGTTGAGGCGAACTTAAAGAGGGGCATGTTTACGAAAGGATGGTCAGAGTTAAGGGAAACTAGAGGTGGTGCAGTACTCGGGGCTGGTGACAGCACTGCTCACTGCCAGGCCTGAAGGAACAAGGGAGAGCAACAGAGGAAGGGGCCACCTGCCAAGGATCTTCAGATGAGGAAAGCTGCCAACCCACAGCCCAGCAGGCAGGAAACCAGAAAAATAAGTACCTTTAACTCCCTTTCCTGCCCTTGGATCTCCTGCCAGTCCCTCCCATCTGCTAAACCCAACAGGAAGCCAGAGGATTTTGCATTCCACTGGGGCCAGTCTCCCAGGGCAGAGAACAGGGTGGAGAAGGGAGGAGAGAGGCAGAGTGGATACAGAGGGCCACAATCTTCAGCCAAGTCATGGTACTGAAGAGCTGCATAACCAAAAACCAGGTCCGCAAGGTGTCACACACACAGCAACCAAGACCAAGGCCCAACAGATTCAGCCAGTAAAGATACAACAAGCACCTTTTGATTCAGACAGCTTATTACTTACACAGGCAGAAGATGAGCCAAAGGTGCCGGCTCCACATGGTCCTTGTTGCACACAACAGGAGGAGCACTACAACGAGGGTTGGGGGATTTCCCATTGCTGCGAAGCCAGTTCTAGATGCAGTTAAGCTGTTTTACAGTCTACAGCTCTGCTCAGGGGGAGGCGGCGCAGGAAGTTTCACACTTACCAGATCCTGGGAGGTGACCTCTCCTGACAGTCTCCCATGGGATAAGGTCAATGCCTCACAAACCTCCCATCCTCTCGGGTTCCTGGAGGATCACTTAGGCTGCAGGTCAAGCCTCTGCCTGTGTGGCCAATGTGGGTAAGCGCCAGGGCACCAGGACAGAGTGGTTCCCCAGGGAAGTAGCTCAGGCAACTCCACAGAGCTCAGTGGTACAAGGCTGAGGAGCTTCTCTCTAAAGCACTAGGTCTCAGATGACTCAGCCCCAACCATTCTCTCTTCCAACTTTCAAATTCTTGGGAGAGAATTCAGCTGTCCCAGCTTTGGTCTGGATGGACACCATCAGCTGTGGCCAGGGGCAGACTTGCCATGGACAGACAGAGGCTCTGGGCCCGCTCCCACGTGCCCAGCAGCTTTCAGGGACAGGCCACATCCGTCTGGACCCTACTTGCTTCTGCTCTGAAGAAGTGCTATTTCCATATCAACTAATGGAAAGGGAGATCGAGAGAGCTCTTTGAAGACAGCAGTAACAGAGTGATTGATGTGACTCTAACAACGGACCAGCCAGCCCAGAGTAGAGGGGACTTCTGGCTGACCAGAGGTTGGAGCTGCTTTTAAAGACCTGAGCATAAAACAGTATGTATGCACAGCAGTTAACGTTTGCCAATAATTTAAAGATAATGTCACATTTATTATCCTTAAGTTCACGATGACAAAGAGAAATTATGTGTGGGAATGTTTCCACCTTCT